GTTTGCTTGAAGTGTAAGAGGAGCACAAATGAACATTTTTAACTTAATTATATGATGATTAAGTTGATACATATAAGGTTTGAAATGGCGGTCAACGAAAACGTTGACCGATGGATAATGGATTAATTGATACCAGACGGTATTAGTTAATTATGAATTTATATAAACACATGGCTTTGCATGGATTGTGATACATAAGCTTTATGTATTGATTTAGCTATGAATGAATAAATTGGTGGAGGACCCTAGGACTTAAAGTCCTTAACACTCATATTTTGGTGGAGGACCCTAGGACTTAAAGTCCTTAACACTCGTATTTTGGTGGAGGACCCTAGGACTTAAAAGTCCTTAACACTCATATTTTGGTGGAGGACCTAGGACTTAAAAGTCCTTAACACTCGTATTTTGGTGGAGGACCCTAGGACTTAAAAGTCCTTAACACTCATATTTTGGTGGAGGACCCTAGGACTTAAAAGTCCTTAACACTCATATTTTGGTGGAGGACCCTAGGACTTAAAAGTCCTTAACACTCATATTTTGGTGGAGGACCCTAGGACTTAAAAGTCCTTAACACTCATATTTTGGTGGAGGGCCCTAGGACTTAAAGTCCTTAACACTCGAATTATAAATTGGTGGAGGACCCTAGGACTTAAAGTCCTTAACACTCAGATAATAAATTGGTGGAGGACCCTAGAACTAAAAGTCCTTAACACTCAAATACAAATTTGGTGAAGTGCCCAAGGATTATGATCCTAAAAACTCATAGATTATGATATTGAAGTATGGACAAGGAGGAGTCCTATACACTCATAGACATATGGGTGGGTTGGGGTTTTTAGTCAAGGATATTGACTACTAATATTTTCCCAAATAAAACGGTGATCTACGGATCGGGTATTTTCCAAGTGTATATGTACTACTAAGTATTTCTTAACTTGGGGGAAAAGACTATTTATATAAGTATTACCCTATGTTTGGGTCTTATACTTGAAACGCTAGTTATTCTATATTTATCCTGCTACTCGCTCGGTACTTGTACTGACCCCTTCGGGGGGCCCCACCATTTCAGGTTGAAGTTAAGGTTTGTCATCTACACCTTTGCACGGGTGAAGAGAATCCAGAGGAAGACGTGGTTCGTGCTCCCTCTACTATTTCAAAAGATAAACTATGCTCATGGATACTTTTGTATTAATACATTGTTTTGACCTGCAGGCCTACGTTTTGGCCATGTGTGGCAACGATTAATTGTTGAATATTTCCGCTATTCAATTAATCTAAACTGTGATGTTGTTGTGTATGTTTACTACTGAGTATGGATATATTATGTTCATGGACGCCTTGTATGATTAAGACACGTTGACTTGCGAGTGACGTCACTTGCTCATACGGCGGTTGTACACGCGCCTAGATGCGATCTGGGGTGTGACATTTTAAGTCCATAAGGTATCATTAGACTCAATGAAATGACATCAGTGGCGAAGGTTGATATTGGATTTGTCGACATGATGACATGTTTGTTTGTTTCTTCATAGCTTTCAATTGCGTTTTGAATTCCGCCATTAGAGTTAAATTATGATCTTCCATCGATGATAACTTTTCGTGCACATTTTGCACAGACGGTGCCAAATTATTTAAACAATTTTTCATAAACTAAACTAATTGAAAGAAATATGTGTATTGAACAGGTTTCGTACAAGAACAATAAGAATATTAAGAAGTAAGCTAATTATGCTAGAAATTAAGACTTGTATTCAGTGTAATCGAGCGAGAATGAATATGATTTACAATGTGGTTCACATCTATTTATAGGAAAAGTAATTAATGTCCCCTTAACGGTTTGTTCGTTACTGACAGTCTGGTTCGACGATTCCGTTCGTTATTGACGGTTTGATTCGACGGTTTCGTCCGTTGTGACAGTTTCAACCCGTCATAAAGACTGGTCAGCTCAAGTTAATTAACCTCATACTTAATTACATTAAAGTCATATTAATAGATAAAAACGTCCTAACAAGTAACAATCAACATTAAGTCTTATAAATGTACCCTTAACTTCTATGATCAGTTCTCATAAATGTAGAATCAAGTCATCAAATATATGATCTAACAAATTCATAGTTTTAAAAGTCCATGAGTATGAATAAATGTTTTTAGATCAAATATATGATCTAACAAATTCATAGTATCCAATAGCTCAAAGCTACCCGGGGGTGAGACATAGAATTGACCAGCCCCTGAGGACCCGGCAAGTTCGCTAACCCTACAACATGGTAGGCTACTAAAATAAATAGATAAAAAATTAGAGTTTTTTAAACCCGAAAGAACAAATAGAATCATAACTCCTGGTTTTATTGGCCACCAGTAAGGGAGAAGAGGTTTGATCCGCCACCTCCAAAAATGTCATACTGATTTGACCAAGCATCGGGAAGGGAGAAAAGGTTTGTCCAGCCACCTCCAAATGAAGCTTCCTACTCGTATCAGTTAATGGAATTTCAGGCGGTGCTGGTTCAGTAGCACCGCCACAAAGTCTTTTTTTTGTCCATCTCCATCAACCTCGCCCTCATCCCCTACCAAGTTTGCTATCAATACTAAACCCATGTTTTCTTCCTCAACAAGCATATTCATAGTAAGACCCAAACCCAAAACACCGATCAGAAAACCAAAAGCAGGAATCGCACGAAAGAACAAACAACGACCACTTCACTACAACAAAAAGATCTGAACCTCCTGACAACAACTCCGTAAACCTCTATCAAGAATCAAAGCGAAACAGCAACCTTGGACTGAATAAACTAGTAAACAAACAAAGGATACGTTCAAAAGGAACATAGAAAAAACCTCGGTAACAAAGAGTGCCGGGAACAAGGGATACAACTAAACAATTAAAAACCTGCATTAAATATATCTAACTTTTACGATGCATGAACTTTTAAAATTTTGCTACTAACTCTTTGTACAACACCCCTTTGATATATACTAGATTCTCACCCGTGTGATGCACGAATGAATATTTATCAATGTATGATTAAGAACTTTATTATAAAAGCACATAAACAATTGAACTTAGAATAAAGTGGTAAGTAATACTATGTATAATAAATGTTCGTAGTTAAAGAGATGAAAATATCACCGAAGAAGGAAAAATGTAAATATTATAAAAGAGTTATAACATTTAAAAGTACAAAGTGGTAAGTAATATAATAATGTTCATAGTGAAACTGCAAATTTTGAAAAAGTTCTTTGTAAACAGCATTAGTAGTATGATTGATCCGTTGATCTTCCTCATCACAGATCAATATTTTTGACCCATATTTAATACTCTTGTTTCTAATTTAGCAAACGAATAACACTCTTAAATGAATATTTAACAAATAGTTATCACCATAAATCATATTATATTATATATTTATTTAAATTAATTTTCAAAGAATACTTGAATGACTTTATTTTATCATTGTCTAAATAATTGCACCTTTTTTGCAATGAAAATATTTAAATCGGACGAAGATGATATCTTTTACCAAGAAAAGTTAATTTGACCAAAGTTTCTAGGACATACAACTATTAAAAATAACTTACATTAACTTCAGCAGATTTAATCAATTCAATTGTTCCAGCCAGTCTTTTATCAATTTAAATAAATACATCAAATAAAAACAATTCAATATTACAACCGCTTGTACGGTGCCAACCGTACAGCCGGTGACAAACTTGTAATTTTGGTGAAAATCTCAGATTCTCTTTAAATGGGCATTGAATCACTTTTGATGAGCATCGAGCCTCTTTTTTTGAGTATTAGGAGCCTAACGGTGAGCATCAGTGATATCTGATTCATTCCTCATATATCACATTTTGTTTATTATTTTTTCGTTTATTAAAAAGTTTTTTGTCCAAAATGAGCATACATAACTTACAAATTAGTATCAAATAATTAAAAAGTTCATTTGTGTGTGCTCATTCATTTTGGGTGTTATACTCATTTGAGTTTAACACAAAACTCATTTCTAATGTGTTCAATATTCATTTGTATATGTTCATTTAAAATGAGCATTCATAAAACTCATTTGAAATGTCTACTATGCTCATAATTTCATTTATTATGCTCACATCTAAAGAATTACGTATAACTTAGATTTCTCTAACATGTGGCCAACAAGTGACCAAACTCACTCACCAAATTTAAGTAAGAAAAAGAGAAAAAGGAAGAGTCCAAAGCAAGAAAGGGAGAAGAAGCAACTAGGGCTATACACCAGATGCTGCGCAGGAGCCGCCGCTGAAGCCGGAGTTTGAGGTGCTGTGCTCGTGCTGGAGAGTTGCGGCTGTTGAGAATCATCATCTGTGTAGACGGAGAGCGAAGGACGAGCAACGAGAACGATCTGCGATGGAAGCCTGCGAACTGCGATGAAGACCTGCGACCTACGATCTGGGAATTAAAAGCCGGTTGTACTGTGCGCACGGTACAGCCGGCTGTACAATGGAATTTACCAATCCAAAAGGACTCTTACTAATTGCATCAAAGAATCTGCCAAAATTTGATAGATAAATTTGGAAACACAAATTCGAAATTTTTATTTAAAATATAACCAAACTTTTAGATGCTTTTATTTGAATTGAAATTTTCTAGTCTCTATGGTCTGGTTTGATCTAGTTTGGTCTGTTCTGATATGATTTAGTAAATATATATTACCTCCATCCCACTCAATTTTGTCAAGTTGATGTTAGGTGGGAAATTAGAATAGTAAAATTTGTGTGGTTGAGGTTTGTGCAGAGGAGAGAGAAATGAACAGAACCACAAAAACATTGCTTTAAAAGGAAAATAGCAAAGTTTTGTGGGACAAACAAAAAAGAAAAGTTATCAAAGTCTAGTGGGACAGAGGGAATAGATTTTATGTATTTTATAATCATTCAAGTCTAATCTGATCTGGTCTTATTGAATTTAATTTGATTGAGTGTATTATTGAAAATGGTCTAAATGAAAACATACCAAATGGAGTAAATATTATAGATGTGGGCTATCGCCTATTGCCCCTTCACCTAAGGCTAGATAGACCACCGCTCCTGAAGACTCCACGGAGTTCACGCCCTTCCTCTAACCCGTCGAAGTACTCTTCAGTGGCCATCGAGAAAAATCATCTCCAAATTCCTCTTCCATCGCAACAATCTTCCAGTGTTCGACAACCTACAACACACCGGATCCTCACCCAAACTGTCCTCCTCACACCCACCTTGAGTACTTATCTAGCATTCTAGCAAAATATCAGTGAATGGCAACCGACGCTAACCGGATCTGTTATATGCGGGGGAAAGCGGCTGATACCTAAAACGTTGAAGCTTCTCACAGACTGGGCATAAGAGTTCTTAATTATAGGTATGATTTTTCCAAATTCCGATTCATTGATTTGAATTTCAAACTCAAAACTTAATTTCTCCAGCTAAGATTTGAGGAACGCCCTACTCAGAGAGGCGATGATGAGAAGTAAACCCTCGGTTAAACTATTCTTGGCATTTTCAAACATATGGTAAATCGATTGTAATTACTTTTAGTAATTTAGGTTACTATTTTAATCGGTAAGTATTGAATCCAGACTATTCAAAAATATCAGTGTGGACTTATTCTTGAAAAATATTACATCTCAACAACTTATTGCTATATCAATTCTATGTAGTAAACAAAATAAACAATCGCAAGATATGTCCCATTTTTCAAATCTAAATATTAAATTAAAATCAAACCTTATTAGCTATAAAGAGTGCCGGGAACAAGGGATACAACTAAACAATTAAAAATCTGCATTAAATATATCTAACTTTCACGATGCATGAACTTTTAAAATTTTGCTACTAACTCTTTGTACAACACCCCTTTGATATATATTAGGCTAAAAGGAGAAAGAGTTTTAGCTATACAAATCATTTTATATAAGGAATTTATAAGAATTTTGGGATTTCAAAAATCAAAATGGAACGTGGAAAGAAAATTATGAGATTGTTATAGAAGTGAAAAGGGAAAAGGGGCAAATAAGCTCTCGAACTAACTCAAAAAGTGCAAATCACCCCTTTTATAGGGGGTTCTATCTTCCCGTCGCCATTTGGGGCGGTTCCAGGTGGAATTTTTTGATGAAGTTTTTTGAGCATCTTCTTCATTAAGTCTAGTTTACCCATACCAAATTTCAGCTAAAAATGAAATTGGGAAGGCAGTCAAATAAATGTTTGAAGATAACTGCGTAGTTAAACAACACAGTATATTTCAGAAAATCATTTGAATGACTTCCAGGTTGAAGTTTTAGCTGAAATTTGGTATGAGTAAACTAGACTTAATGAAGAAGACGCTCAAAAAAATTCATCAAAAAATTTCACCGGGAACCACCCTAAATGGCGACGGCTGGACAGAGGGTCATAAGGCTTATTCAGGGTCAGTTTTTTTATTGCATTTTATAATTCTAGTTTTCTAAATATTATCAACATTTATATGAAGCCTATGAAAGATTATCAAAGTCAAAGTTTTTCAACTTATCAATTATGAAATTCTTCATTTCTTTGAATTAAAGTTATTTTATCCCATATAAAATAGTAAAATGCCAATGTGTATGCTGATTGATTTTGGCCTGAGGTAGGTATGTAGAAATGAATGTAGACACTTGACAGACAACGTGGTTACTGTTATATGGTTGGAAGTAGATGAATCGGGAGATAAAGAATTAAAAACAGGAAATGGGAGTGTAGGTTCAGTGTATATGGGTAAGGAAACATATAGAGAGATAGAGAGAAAAGGGCATGTAGATTGGAAATTGGATACACACTCTTGAAAGGGTTTCGACCTGTGTTGTGCATACATGACAAAGTGAAGTTTTTAAGTACTTTGGCGGTGCTGGAGGATAAGTACACAATGTGATTAAGTAGACTGTTGGAAGTGCAAGGTAAATTGATTTCAAGATCATCATAATGGTAATGTGGATCACAAGTGAATATTTATGTTTTTCAAGTTCCCTTTGATAAGTTAAAATATGATACTTTCCATATATACTATCTACTTAAATGCAATATAATTGATCTTGAACATCAACTATGTGACAACTTGAAAACAGGAAACTTATTAACTTTTATTACCTCTGTCCCTTAAAACTTTGCCAAGGTTGATCGGCACGGAGAATAATACAGTTAAAACTGTGTGGTTGAGGTTTATGTAGAGGAGAGAGAAATAACAGAAACCACAAAATAATTGATTAAATAGGAAAGTGTCAACGTTTTTTGGGACGTCCCAAAGAGGAAAGATAGAAGTGCCTTGGGACTCACATGCCAAGGAGCCCCAAAATATAAGTTATTAGTATTAGTATATTAAGTAAAATAGTAATTTAAAATACTAATAATACTAAGAACCCTGATGTTGAAAATCTGCGGAGTTATGGCTTAGTGCGAACTGCGCACCCTGCACGATGTTGAACTCTCCAAGCGATTGTCGATTGAGAAAGTAGTGAGACAGCGAATAGCAACCAACTGTCAAAGACTCAAGTGCGGACTGCCGATTGCTGAACTGCCGATTGCCGAAGACGGTCCGCCATTGAGTGCCCAACTGGTGACTGTCGTATACTCGTATGCCGACTGTGACTCCGACTTGCGTGAGTCTTTCTGTCTGAATCTGCGATTTCTCTTAATCTATGGACTCTAATTTCACTGCTAAATGAGTAATTGATAAATTTAGTAAAGTAAGAAGCTTGTACGGTTGTAAAGGGCTAAATTCGTAAAGGGGTAATGGTTAACTGCTACTTTGGGTCTGTGGCTAAGATTAATTGAATCAATATACCTACAGCACTAGTTTTAAATAATTGAATAAAGATAGTTGTATATAAGGTACATAGTATATTATCGATTGAAAAAATTTGTTAGCTACTTTTGATTTCAATTATATGTATTTCCGATTTGCCCTATGGGATATTAGTGTATTACAGTATTAGGTATTTAGATGAATAAGATGATATTTGATAAATACATTATACATGAAGTAATTAATTTCATTATAATAGTAGTAGTAAAGTAGTTATTTTGTTTAATTTGTCATTGTATTTAGAAGAATAGAAGTTTTAGGTTTTTTGTTAATTAATATGTGATTTTTGTTACTTTGTATTATCTATGAATATTGTCATTAGGAGCGCCTTTAGTATGACGGGAAAGCGGAAATTTGATTCGGGGTCTACAAAAAGAAAGAATAAGTTGCAGAAATATTTGGTTATACAATCGTTTGCCAGCTCTATGTTTGTACAAAGTTTTTGCAAATGTTTGTACAAGTTTGTGATTTATTTTGCAAATGTTTGTACTATTGCCTTTAAAACTCATCCTTTTGAATATTAAAAATATTATACAGTACACTTTGAATACGTTTTTACTATATGCTATTTTTTATTCAATTTATATCTTTTCAATATGTTTTTTTGCGACGTAAGCTTTTTTCTGTCTAGGGCCTCCGAAATGCTGAAGACGCCTCTGAAGGGACGGAGGGAGTATAAGTTTTTAAATAAATTGTCTCTGTTATCTATTTTTCTCCAATTTCGAAAAATAAGTTTCTCTCTAGAATTGGAGATTTGGGTTGGGGTTTGGGTCTACAGTTTACTATGGACCCAACCCTATTCCTGCCAAACTGCGATACTTATCCCTTTCCCTCGTCATATATGGATGATAGACTTCACCCTTCATGGAGGAAGCTACTAAAAAATCTTGACCTGCAATGCTGGCTTCTGGAAGAAGGTTTATTTGAATAAGGCTCTGCGTTGGTGTGGGTGTGAAAAAATTTACTATTCATCCGACACTACGTGTTTTAAAGAAAAAACAGCGCTCTCTATCTTTTGTGTGTTTTTTAGTTTTGTCTTATGGATATTGTATTTTTTATTTAGAGTGCATGATCCGCTATGTTCCCTATAGTTTTTTATTATTTAGAGTGCACATGCTTCTTCTTGGGTTGTATAATAGTATATTTGTATGGTTTTGGAGAGAGCAAAGTGGAGGGTGCATATTCGCGTGGACGATTGATCTCTTTTCTCTCCTTTCTCTGTCTTTTTCTTTTATCTTTTATATTCTTTATCTTTCTATATTCTTATTTTTTATATTTTATCTTTCTTGTGCTCTTTTATATCTTTTATCTTTTATCTTTTATCTATCTTATGTTCTTATGTTATTTTTATCATATCCAATTTATCTTTCTTATCATGGATCAATTTATGTCAGATTGTCAGCCGACCCCAAATATGTCCCTGTAGATGTTGTTTCCTTGTGCCCTTTCCTGTTTTTGTCTACATAGTTATTGTTGCTCAGTATCTAAATCTGTTTTTAATTGAGCTTGTAGACATTTGCGTGTAACAAGGAACTTGTATAATGGTGGCTAAGCGTAATACTCGTTACAACCGGCTTGCTGCGGATGAAGATGATGAATATTATGGGAGTGGGTCAAGACATGCTGACCGTCGATTTGAATATTCGCCAAAGTCTCTAGATCGAGTCCCATGGAAGTCACTTGCCCTTGCAGTTTTCCTGCTTTCACTTGGATGCCTTCTTCTCCTGCTCTCACTCTTTATCCTGACTGGCCATATGGCAGGAGATCAGTCCCAAGCATATGGTCTATTAGGACTCGGGATTTTAACCTTTCTCCCAGGTAAAGTACCAATGAAAATTGAAATCTTGACCTTTATATATTGGTTTTTTTTGTCCTATCTAACAATCTAATGTCTTAAGGTCCACAACCTCATACTAAATAACTGAAGCATTCATCGCACATAGGTGTGAACCTTGCTGATGCAATGCAAAAGTGCTTTAGCATGAATGCATATATTCAATATCAATATCTTATGATGGATTCTCGGTGCAGCCAAGAAACTTTGCTATAATGTGTTTCGAGCGTACTTACATACTTAGTTCGTTCTTTTATTAGTTGCAACAATTTGACTCTCATCTTTGTCAATATTAGACTTCAACTGTTACTTTAATTAAATATGTAATTGTAAAAAATATTTAAAACATGAGATTTTGAAAATATATACTGACAAACTTAATTACTTCTCACATGATGTAAATTGTTTTTATATACTACCTCCATTCCTTTATAACTGTAACAATTTGAATTTCACGTTTGTCAACACACAACTTTAATCGTATTTATATTTAGTTACTAGTAGTAATTATTATAAAAAAGTTAATTTTTGGAAGTTAACATTAATAGAAATTTAATAATATTTTATACATAATAATTTGATGATATATATTAGTAAAAATCAGTGTCAAAGTAAGGTTTATGAATGGTGCAAAAATCGAAGTGTTGCAACTATTAAAGAACGGAAGAAGGATTAATTAAGAAATGATCAAAGTAGAGTATTTGAATAGGTTTGAGGTCAAAGGGTTGTGATTAAAAAAGAACCGGTGAAGTTTTAAGCCTAAAATATATGTTTATAATAAGTGTGAAAGGCTATTTTCTCTTGAATTTATGCATTGATCTATTGTTCACAAATACTTTTTGAGTATAAGAATGTGTCAAATGCACCGTTCTAATAAAGTGTGTGAGGGTATTGTTTGAAAAGGTAGTGAAAGTTGTCTTGGAAACATAAAAACACCTCATTAGGAACAAAAAATTGAAGGTGTACAACTCTTAGGAAAACAGGAAGTATAATAACTAACTTTATATGGTTTACTTCGGGTGATTGTCAGTTTCTTGTGGAGTAATTTGTTGATCTTTTTAGTCTTCAAGTTGATTGTGGTGGACGTTCTATTCCTTTCTAATTTTCTTCACTATTGGGATGTTCCTGAATATTTAGCAACTCGGATTTGTGGCAAGCTTGCTTTGTTTGATATATCCAGTTATCTCTGTTTTACTCGCTCTCATAATTTCCTTCACATCTTGCCTTTTGTCTTGTGCCAAAATTTCTCTCCATTTCCTTTAAGAAAAGAGTTGTGTGGTTAATATTGTTTCTTTCATTTTTAAGTTTACCTCTATCACACTATTTTATTGTCTAGTTAAGTATCTAAATGGGGAGAAAAATTTGGGACAGAGGGAGTAATAATAATGAGCTTTTGCGGTCAGCTTAATCTTTTAGCTTATCACTTTTTATTTTAATCAGATAAAAAAGATCCATTAGTATGATTTGGAAAAAAGAAGACCTGGTTAGACTGGGCAGCTCAAATTAACACGAGAAATATTTGGACCTGAGTTGAGTGGATGATATATTAACAATAAAATACCTATATTGGTTTTACTAGTTTTCAATCTCATTCGATGCATTGCTCTGTGTTTATTTATTTAAAATTTATAGCTAGAACAGCAACCACCAACATTTATGACAGTAAGAACTCATTGCAGGTTTTTATGAGACACGTATCGCGTATTATTCTTGGAGAGGTGCTCAAGGTTATCGATTTGCTTCTATTCCCGACTACTGACCCAGTGAGGCAGTGACTATGTTTTTATGACCTTTGGTTTGCTGTACTCATCTTCTTTACTCATGTCTATATCATAATATGCCATCATCATGCGCCAACTCCCATTTCTCTCGTCCTTTGAACTAAATTTGCTGTACTGCTTCATGCTTGCTCCCTGGTAGAGTCCTGATGCAGGTGAAGAAAATGTGGGTTGGTGTGGGTCCATGTCACTTCAAGATCTGTGAGAGTTTGTATGAAAACCAAGTGATTGGACAAAATACTTGAAAGAGATGGGATTAGTTGTTGAAAACATAGAGGAAAGTCACTAAGAAATACGTAGTATATCATCAACTTATTGAAGAAAAATACCCCTTTCATCCGGACTACCACTTTCCTTTCAAAATGAAGTTCTCATCTTTATGAAAAGATTCCTTGCAAGAAAAAAACACTTTATGAAAAGATTCTTTTTAAAAATTTATGAAACTATTCTTACATTTTATCCATTTTTTTTTGTTGAATGTGATATACTGTAAGGTTAATAAAACTTTATCTCAGATATGTGTCTAAATCTGACAACCTTTTTTGCAAAGGATGAGGACATGAGGTAATAATTTATAATTCAGCATTAAACTTGACAACTTGTTCAAAACTTCAAATCTTGAAACCTTTTTGTCGTGTGTTTTTACTGTTATTGGTTATGTACTTATGTAATTATGTAATTGTATGATGTTCCCAGTTCGCCAATGAGCTAATTTGTTTTTTATTTTTGCATTTCTTTGGTCTTCCTTAGAATGCCACCATTTTTTTCTTATACACTATTTAAGATGTTTTTATTTGGATTGAAATTTTCTGGTTTGATCCCATGAAGTCTGCTCTGCTCTGATCTATTTAACTCTGGTTTGGTATGAAGTTGAAATACGTCTGGATATAAACATCTTTCTGTTTTTTCTACCTCAAATTTTTTACCCGCAATAGCCAAGTTTGTTGTCCCGAAATTATAATAAATAAAATGATGAGTGAAGCACTTACCTCGGAGGCTCCGAGAAAGATTATTGGGACTGGGATTGGGACCTTCTTTCGGTTTTGGGTCCGTTTAGGGATGGACCCGGTCCGGTCCGGTTCCCGTTTTGGGCCGGGCCTGGGCCGGCTTTTTTTGCAAAATGTTGGGCCCGGAACCGGCCTGGGTTGATACCGGGTCCGGGCCTAACCAGGCTGGGCCGGGCCCAGGTCAAGTTCAATTTTTTTTTGGTTTCTAATTAACACCCGACCCCTCCCCTTTTCCCCCAACCCCTCCCCCAAAACACCCAACCCTAACCTACAAAAAAAAAAATTGAAAAAAATTGAACCGGGCCTGGCCCGAACCGCTTGGGCCGGTTCACCAAAAGTTGGACCCGAGCCTGGCCCACCCAAACGGGCTAAAAGCCCGGAACCGGCCAACCGGTCCCGGACTCCCGGTCCGGTCCGGGCCCAAACAGTAACGGGCCGGTTGCGGGTTGGGCGAGCCCGGTTTCGTCCATCCCTAGGTCAGTTTTGATCTCTTCAAGACTTCAACCACTTTTTGGCACTCTAGCAGTCTGGCTCCAATCGCTATATAAAATCCCAACTTGTGCAAAAATGTCATCTTGATTGTAATTTCTGTTGTAATTTCTAAGATTTAATTTTGCATTTTCATAAGAGCGATAATGCCATATTTATGACATTTCACATTTATAAAAAAACAATGGCATTTTAAAACAAGTTCTCATCTCCGAGGGTGTATGTTGTTGGTTGTAAGGTGTAAATTGTATAGTTAGGAGTATTTTTATAATTTTAATTGAGAACTACAACTTGTGTTAATGAAGAATCAATGCTTTTTTATTTGAGTATCAAACATATTCTGTCTGTTTAGTACGTAATATTAGGAGTTTAATATTGAGTATCGAGATCTCTGCACAATACTCCGTATCTTTTAATGCACTTTCATTTTATTATTTTCCTTTTTAATTTTGTAAATCTAATTTAATTTTTACGCCCAAACACAACAGCTGAAGACGAGTCACGGCTACCAAACTTAAATAGGTTTGATCTTATAAAAAAATCAAGTGAAGTTATTCTTTGCTCTAAACATTTGCCCTAGATTTGTTTTATTTTTGTGCTAAAATTTGTGCAATTGATGATCATTTTTTATTGTGCATAATAGCATATTATAAATCTGCATATTTTTTTGTTTATTATTTATTTAGGTGCAACTTTAATAATTATTGTCTGACCAATTTTAATTGGCAGTTCTCTTGACTATAGTTTAGCTGGTCAGTATTTTGGAAACAATTTTAACCTAACTCTAATTTCATAAATATTTTTGTACATAGCATTATTTTTTGGGGGAAAATCCATATTTTTTCTTTTCAAATGTGTAGAGTTACTGTAATTACCATTTATCGTAGAAGAATATAATAAAGGACTAAATTTGATAAAGAATTGATAATGGAGGACACAAACTAATAATGTAGGAGTAAATTGGGTATGACCAAAACATGGACTAATTATCATATTAATTCTATATATATTTTTTGGATGTCCCATTAACTTTGTCATTTTCCTTTTAAGTAAATAATTTGTGATTCCAACTAACTTTCTCTCTTGTGCACAAACATTTGCCACATAGTTTTTATTTTATTAATCTCGTGCTGGTCAAACATGGTAAAGTTTTAAGGGACAAAGGTAGTAATCTCTACCCCACACAAGCAATGGACAGGGAAAAATCTAGCTGCCCCAAGTCCCCAACTTAGGCATGGACTCGGGTTGGGTCGGGCCGCCAGTTTGTAACTCATGGACCCGGGACTGGCCCGAGGTTTGGATGGGTCCGGTTCAAGCCGGGCCACCCGCCCGGGTCAGGGGTTGGGCCACCCGCTGGGCCTGGCCGGTTAAAACCAATCTTTTTTTATAATTTATACTTTATAGCTTTATACAAGTATTAAAAACAAACTTCATGTGCATTTATTTGAAATGAATAGGAACTACATTTGAAAATGAAGAGAAACATACAATATGAAATACATTTTGTAAATTGTAATCAATCGGAACTTCTAGCACCTCCCGATCCTTTGACTTTGTCACATGACTTAATATGCTTCATTGTCATCCCGTATCCGTCTGAAACTTCCATGCTACACTTTTTCCCGCACCATTTGCAAGTTGCATACCACATCTTGGTCTTTGGGTCCTTCTGCTTATCAAAATTATATCGTGATAGAGTATATATCTAGAGAGAAGTGAGAGCTAGAGAGAGAAGTGCAAGTAATGCTTCAATAGAATGATTTTGTAACCCCTATAACTATCTCCAAAGGAAGTATTTATATGCAAAATACGGCCTGGGCTCCCAAGCCTTGAATAAGTGTAAAATCCGGTTCTGTGAGACTTCCGTGGCCGACGAGGGTCTTGGCCGATGAGGGCACGGCCGATGAGGGCACGGCCGATGAGGACACCCTGGTTCCTTGGCTTCAGGATCATATTCTGAGTTGGTCTTTCTTTGGCCGACGAGGGTCTTTGGCCGACGAGGGCACCGCGTAGTGGCTGTGCTTTCTGTTCTTCTGAGTATGTGGGTCCTGGGGCCTAGACCCATATACTCCATCAGGAGTCCCCCACTCTCTAAGCTGAGATGTAGACGAAGTCAGGGAGAGTAGATTTCTGTGCTTGATGCTTCTTGGCCGATGCGGGACCACGTTGGTTGTTCCCTGTCGCGGCGTTTGGTGGTCCTGTTCGGAGTTTGGCCGTTGCCTGCCCCCTGATGCGGACGGGGAAAGCTATTGTTCCTTTGGTGCGCTTTGTTTGTTGGATGATGAGTGTTCTGGCACGAGTGGCCGATGAAGGTAGTGTCTATCCTTGGTTTTTGACTAGGTAAGTTTTCCTTTTGGGCTGATGAGGCCGTAGGGGTTGCGTCTTTGTTTTGGGTGGCCGATGAGGGCACTGCGCATTCCTTTTGGTCGTTGTTGATGATGCCCTGTGTTTTTGGACGACCAGGCGTCATATTGCCCAAGGTTTAGGGGATGATAACACTGTCTGGCCGAAGATGAAGTTGTGAGGACCTCGGGGCCGTTGCGGTACATGGACGACAGTGATTTAGGTATGTTAACCTTTCTCTTGATTCCTGGCTTAGGAGTGATGTGTGGTTTCAAGGCCGATAAGTGTCTTGTGATCTCAAGTTTTGCTGTGGCCGAAGGTGCACCATGATGTTATGGACGTTGTGGTACATGTCTGATGTTGTAGTTGTGGACTTGGTGTATTTTTGGATTTCTTTGATTTCGCCTGCTATTCTTGAGGCCGGTGTAGTCCCCCAGTCCCCCACTGCTTCAGGCCGAAGAGTGAGTGAGGGGTGAAGGAGTAGATTGAAACCTAGGCCGAAGCGGTCTCCTCCTACTGCCCTTGGATCCAACCCTTTGGCGATTTCCTGACCAAGGTAACCTTGTGGGAGAACCCTTGGACGCAGGTCGCTTTCAAAGGGTTATCATCAAGGGTTTAGTGTGAGGGCCTCATGGCTGTTACGTTCCTTTCCTTTGGGGTATTGTGGCCGTTGTGAAACCTTTCTGAGCATAATGTGTGGCCCCTTGAATGGCCAATACGAGTGCTACCTGGGTAGCCGTAGACTGTGTTGGCCGTTGAATGCCCTGGCTGTTGTGGGTGTTATTTTTCCTTTCTTGATCTGTGGGGCCTGCTTCGGTGGTGGGCTGGTAATTTGTGGATGGGGTTTGGCCTGTAGACAGAATGGTGGCACCCCATTGGTGGCCGTTGGTGTGGCCACTAAGGTGATGCCACGTGTAGTTACCGTTGGGAGTGTGGCTATAAATACCCTCCCCGTTCCGAGGAGAGGGCCTCACTTGTATTCTGAGTAATGAAGTGCTGCCCAAAAATTTTAGAGAGAGAAAGCCCTTGCTGAGTGTTCTTCACCCCCTTCAAAACTTCAAGGTTAGTTCTTCAATCCGTTCTTCTGTTTCTTACATATTTTGCTCTTCTAGGCCTTGATCCAGTGTTAGTCACAAAAACACTTTAGATCTAAAATAGTTTCCCTTAGTGCCTTAGGAGTTGTTTAGGATGAAATCCTTAAACGAGGAATATTACCCGTACGACGACGAGCCCTCCGCCAAGTCTCTGGACTATGCTGTGATTGAAGAGTGCGCCGAAGAGATCGAGCACCTGAGCCCGTACAAATCCGGGGGAAATGCGGACGGGGAGGACGAGGACGAAAGGTCCGCTTTGTCATCTGAGGGTGAGGACGTAAGGGCCTCCCGCGTAGTGGACGGGGCGTCCGCCTCTACTACCATCCTGTGCCCAAAGCCGGTGTCTGCCGTGAAGGGGCTGCCGCGGCCGAAGAGGAACATGCGGCCAAAGAATGGGCCAGGCTTCTCTTACCTGGACCTTACCAACATTTTCCTCATTAAGCCGGAGAGCAGTGCCGCTGACTATCTGGTCGCACAGATGTATGTGGGGCCGTTTGGGAGAGTCAGGCCGCCTAGGCCGACAGACCACGTGCTTAACCCGCCGCCGGGGTACTTCGAGGTATATCCGATGAGCTTTGCCAAGGGGTTGAGGTTTCCCCTCCTCCATCCCTTCATTCAGGAGTATTTGGACATGGTGGGGCTTCCGTCGGCCTTGCTGACCCCTAACAGTTACTCGCTGATGGTGGGCTTCCTTCTCCGTTGTGCGGAGTTGGGTTACAGGCCGACAACGGCCCTCTTCATGAATCTCTACCAGATTGGCCGAGGAAGCCACAAGAATTGCGCCTGCTACGCCACTTTGCAGCAGCTGCCGAATAAGAGGACGT